GGGGGGAATGAGAGAGAGGGAGGGGAGGGAGAGGAGATCGGTGAGTGAGGGAGGAGAAGGGAGGGGAGGGAGGGGAGTGAGGGGAGCGAGACTGGTGAGTTATGGAGGAGGGGGAAGGGAGAGAGGAGATGGACACGAGCATCTGCACGATCCCACAGAGAGAGAAGGCAGGTGAGTTAGGGAGGAGGGGAGAGAGAAGGCAGGTGAGTTAGGGAGGAGGGGAGAGAGAAGGCAGGTGAGTTTGGGAGGAGGGGAGAGAGAAGGCAGGTGAGTTAGGGAGGAGGGGAGAGAGAAGGCAGGTGAGTTAGGGAGGAGGGGAGAGAGAAGGCAGGTGAGTTTGGGAGGAGGGGAAAGGGAGGGAGACCGGTTATATATATTATACATATATATATATATATTGATGCAAAGTTACCTCTACACCAGGCCAGTCGCTATCGGGGCGCCCCCTACAGACGCTGACGGGAAGCCGACGCTACGAGCTGCTGCATAACATCGGTCTGCAGCTGCTCTTCTGCGGCAAGCCACTGCAGGCGTTCGACTGTCTCATCGAAGTCGTACAGATGCACCACAACAACCCGCGGCTGTGGCTCAGGCTGGCCGAGTGCTGCATCCACACTCACAGACCGGTGTGTAGCTCACGCTTAACTTGCGAACCTGTGTGTGTTAGCTGTTACTAGCAGACCTGCGTGCGTCTGTGTGTGTGCGTGCATCTGTGTGTGTGCGTGCATGCGTGCGTGCATGCGTGCGAGCGTGCACGTGTGTAACTTGCGCACAGCTAACAGATTGACCCTTATCCTACACATCGTGTGTACAGATTAGTACGTACTCCATATCAGCCTTAAAAACTTGCATGCTATCAATTAAGTATAGGTTATGATTTCTGTAATAAAATAATAATGTCATCACGGCAACTGAGCACCTTTTCCACGCGTTTAATCTTCCTCGTTGATCTCTTGTACTGGTACCTGGTACTGGTGTACTGGTACTCTTGTACTCTTGTACTCTTGTACTCTTGTACTCTTGTACTCTTGTACTCTTGTACTCTTGTACTCTTGTACTCTTGTACTGGTCTCTGCATTGCCGTGTCCTGGCGGATGCTGGATATGTCGATGTTTTTACCTGTAGAACAACGAGCATCTCTTCAAGACAAAGCTGCATGCTCAGGACTTGGTGCGGGGCATTGCGGGGCAGGGTTCTCATCGCAAACTCATACTCAAACCCATGGACATCAACAAACGCACACAGAGGTAGGTAAACTGTAAATATAAATAAATAAATAAAATTAAATAAAAATGTAAAATTAAACTATATTTGTGTATAAAAACAGCCACCACATGTTACGTCTGTCAAGGGGAAGGAGTAGTGGGCTAATGGTTAGCATGAGGAAGTTTTTGGTTAATGGTCTGTGGTTCAAGTCCTACTGTGTTCACTTCTGTTGTGCATTTAATCAAGGCACTCTATCCTTCCTCACCTTTATCCACTCACTTATTATTCCTCCCTCCCCTACAGAAGGAGTTAGGGTAGGAAAGTTAGGGTTTGTTTGACGACCTCACTCCATTATACAATCCCCCATTGCATAAAAACCTAAGTAACAGTTGTGACGGCTCGATGTTGCAAGAATAGCCAGAATAAGAATATAATAAGCTTATAGGAGCGTTATAACAACCGAAGCGATCTTCCCGATACTCCTGGCTAGGAGGAACGGTATTCCCGTGTGGCAGAGACTTGCGGCTGGCAGCGCCCCCTGTTGGCGAATAGTGCAAACTTTTGCATCTTCTTGCAGGTCGGAGGGCCCGTCGTCTGCGATCCCCAACGCGACGATGGAGTTTGCCGTGCTCTGCCTGAAGAACGCGCTCATGCTGCTGCCACCGGTGAAGAACATGGCCGAGCGGAAACGACGCAGCAGCGAGGAAGAACAGGAGGAGCGAACTGCTGACCAGTCGTCGTCCGACACGCATCTACCGGCGCCACCTGGTAGCCCTTTGAATGCGTGCGAATTAGAAAACCTTAGGTACTGAGAGTGGTAGCTAAATTGGGTGCAGTTGAGTTAGTTATTATGATTGATTGATTAATTGATGATTAATTGATTGATGATGATTCTAATTAATCAATGTTAAACTTTGGCATTCCCCGACTGTGAAACTTTATCGATGTTGTTCACGTATGTGAGTGCATGCGTCTAAATGCCGCAGACGATTGTTTCTCTGTTCAGAATGATATCAAGTACGCTTGCTGTTGTACAAAATTTGTAGCCGGTGTGCATTGTCGTTATCTCAGGTGTTCTGTGTTGTCGGCGAGTGCGTACGTGTGCCTGTATCTGGGAGACAACCTAGTTGCCTTGCAGCATGCTGAGAAGCTACTGGAGCAGACTAAGCTGTCTGGTGTACAAAGGTATCTGTTTGCTTGTCCGTCATAGGTCTTAATACTCGTATCATAGTGTACACAGGTATCCATTTTTGCTTGTCCATTATAGGTCCTAATGCTTTTGTGTCAACTGTGGTAGGTTCCATAATGCTCTTCCTCCACATGCAAGCTTTAGCTGCAGTCTGTTAGTTGAAGGAGTTGACATAAGTTAAGTTGAGTTTAGAAGTGACAAGATGTTACCAGGAGGGTAATGAATGTAGCTTCATGTTGGGACATAATTCAGGAACCTATACCTGCTAATGACAAAGATCAGCACCCGTGTTCCTAAAAACAAAAAATTAAAAAAAATTCCTAATGTTGAAAACCCCCTGATAGTATATGCAGAGTGCAGGTACACAGCTCGAGGTGCACGTAAAACCCCCCTGCCTATCTGCGCGTTGGCCAGCAGCCCCATCACTATCATGTCGTCACTGCGGTTTGCGTGTTCCAGGTATCTTGGGCACCTGTACGCAGCCGAAGCTCTAGTGATGCTCGACTGCATATCTCACGCCATCGATCACCTGAGCTACGAGGTCAGCGACCTTTCGATGAGGATCGCCGAGGACTCGGGCAAGCAGGAGAGGGACGACAACGGAAACGGCACGATGAACACTCTAGGTGTGATGACAATGTCCTTGTTGTCTCTTTGTTTGTTCACTAGCCGTCAGATTGCATGTGCTGTGGGTACAACTTTCTGCTGGTAGAAGTTGAATTCAGAATAGAAGTCACATGAATTTGATCTTCATCTATCATTATACTATTATACTATTATACTATTATACTATTATACTATCATCTTGATGATGATTTGAATAATTATAATGATTCTTGGAGCTTGACTTGTCGTATGCTCACAATTCATGATTCATGATTCACGATTCATGGTTATCAGATCCTGCGTGAACCTTTGCTATCGCTTTTTTCGTCAGTGCAAGCGGAATGGTTTCCTAGCACAGTGCCGGTGGCATCCTTGGTTGTTCAGTACAACCTCTGTGTAGCATACACCATCCGCGGAGAGTTTGAAAAGGCGCAAGGAATGCTCTGGAAGGTAAGATGCAACTTCGACACCAATATTTTGACGTTGACTGTGTTGATGTTATTGAAACTTGATGGGCTCGTTAACAATACTTAGTATACATGATGTTATGATAGATCATCCAACTTTCTCCTGCGTACAAGGCGGCATCTGCAAGAATGCTGTTCTTTGGTTTGTTAACGTTAGCAGTTTATGCTACTATTTATCTCTAATATTCAGTTTTGTCGCTCACAAACCGCCCTGAAACAAGTAGTAAGTCAAATTTTATTTGTTTTTGATTCTTACCTGTAGATAGCGCCACTGTTCAAATCAACAACAGGCCTCACTGACATTCCGGCTCACCTGATGGTGCTGGCGCTCTATCTGCAACTGCAGCTCGGGCACACAGACATGGCAAAGGCAATCATCAAGCAGAATTTCCCTGGACTCCGGGCATAATGAGTGACCAGACAACTCGTGCTGCATATCGCTTATGCCGGGAATATAATCTATGGTGAATGTAGCTGTGTGCTGTCTGCTGGAAAAGACTTCAGAATGCTGAAATAGCCAACAGAGCGCCTGAAGCGTGTAGGGGGGTAGGAGACAATTTTAACAGTGGCGAACATTGCTGACAGCTTCAGTGTCATCGTGATCGTTACTTTTTTCTCATGTGAATCTTCATCTTGCCATAATAGAAACAGCATCGGTTGTGTTGGGAGTTTATCGTTTCTTTCTCATATTGTTACTAAGTTACCTTTTGCAACGTTGGGAAATTAAATAGTGAAGGAATTAATTTTGAGGTAGGTGATTTCACCTGGCTTTCATTAAATATTAAAGGTAACGAATAATGTGGGAGAGTGATTAAATGTTGGCAAATCCAAGATGATAGGTGTCATGCAAAGAATAATTAAATATTTGCAGAAATGTGGAAACTGCTTTACTTTTAATAATATGTAAACAGCATTTTTTATAGTTGTTCGAAAGAAAGCATTGTATTTAACTCTAAACACATTAAAAATATATTGTGAAATACCTGTGATTCATATCATTATTGCTGTAAATCACATTCTGACACAACAGTGCACTGAAATGTTGTTCTTGTACCACAATATAGCTTATACTTTTGCACACATTTGAATATTGACACTATATAACGAACATGATACAAGTGATTGGTGAAGGTTCGTGTTCGTGATTCTCCAAGAAGTAAACTCCACGAGGCGCTGTCATAATTCCAAACAATTTATTTACTAGATAACGTGTGGTCAGTGTTGCTGTTTGGCTCACTGACTAACAATATCACACATAGTTTACCACACCTAAAACAGTGAGGACTCACTCCATAGGGAAAAAAATCTGCTACTAGATTGCATAATAAGTCGAGCATGTACATACAGGGATCTAATCAAAGGCAAACAAAAAAATTACCTTTATAGACAGGTGGTCTACCTTTCTTTACAGATAGGTGGTAATTTTGAATTTTAACATGCAAGGTATACGATATCTGACGATATGTATAGGCAATAAGCGCATTGAACCCACCGCAATTAAATTGATCATAGATATAGCTCCGAACATATAGTAGCTTATAGAACTGATAAGTGATCAGTAAATGCTTTCTCGCGTGAATTTTACTTCATCAGCAAGTATGATATTCTGCTGATTTAGTAATTGCATTGAGGAAAAAAACCTCGAGGTCTATCAAAACATTGCTATTGTGTAGTTGGAATCCACTTGAGGCATACAAAATCAGTGGTCTCTTGTTGCAGTATTGCTCTGGCCGCCCTGTACAGGCACTATAATATAACAGAGTATTTTTGGTAAACTTTATATGGCTGCTATAGACAAGTAGCCGTTTTATCAATGGCTGCAGACACAGGTTTAGCTGTAGTGACATAAAGTAATACTGAAGTTAAGATAATGGCAAAACCAGAAAGGCCAAGAATAGTGGCGAATGAGGATTCATCAGGGTATATGGGGGTGCTTACATGATTATATTTACACAGGTTTATCATTTCTAGTGATTATATATATATTACAATACACACTATACACATACCTATATCAAGAAAAATGAGCAGGCAATAGAGACGCATTCAAGCACAGTTGCTAAACAGCATAACCGCATGCCTTTCACAGAACACACTAAAACATACGTATTGCACACTTTCAATAAATAATGACTACATAAACAGCGACAGACTTCACACAAAGCTATAACAAATGAAGCTCTAACCATATAGTCTGGAATGTATGTAAAGTGTATAGATAAAATTTCCATAATTAGCTGATAATGGTGAATATTATTCGAGGACAGATAGCTGTGTATACATCCTATAAAATAAAAGCGTACTACAAAGGACCTATGTAATCCTATGTAATCCTATGTAATCACACTGATATCAGGACTCATAAGTACTTCTTTAACAAAAAAATATTATCACAGTTACTATTAAAACGTGTAAATTCTTCTTTAAAATACAATGATCAGCAACATGAACCATCTTGCATACATACAATACATGGCTGCTTCACGGTTTAATTTAAGTGCGTTTGTTACAAGTAATACTTTCAAAGGTCTAAAAACGTGCTTTAGGGATAATATACATTGGCAGGGAAACCTAGAATTCCTAGATTCTATCCATGCACATCGCTTGTGTACAGCTGCCTTATATATTGGTTATACAGATATGTCATGGCTACATTTCATAGCACGCCACAATGACCGATATCAACGTCGGTACGACTAGGATCACGCACGCATTTTTCGCAGGTGGTGCATTTTGATTACTGGTTACCAACGAACACCTAACTAACCAGCTATAATCAGTCATGTTGTAGAATTGAGAAAGATAAATTAGAATGTTGAACCATTACTGAGCTCATGAGACTATACAATTACCAATGATTCACTCGCTATGCATGTGCCTGCACCCATAAGCTGGCAGTCAGAGCTGTGTGCATTCTTACACACATATCGTAGCAGTCAGAGCTCATCTACGCATGCCTGCACTTGTACCCTAGTAGTCAGAGCTTCTCCGTGCGTGCCTGCAGCTGTTTCCTAGCAGTCAGAGCTTATCTACACGTGCCTGGCCCCATACCCTAGCAGTCAGAGCTTCGTTCAGCCGTACCCTGGCAGTCAGATCTGCGTGCATTCTTGCACCAATACCGCAGCAGTAAGCTTCTCTGTGCATGCCTGCACCCGTACGCTACCAGTCAGAGCTTCTTACCCCCGTACCCTGGCAGTCAGAGCTTATCTACGCGAGCTTGCACTCGTGCCCTAGCAGACAGAGCTTCTTGCCCCCGTACCCTAGCAGTCAGAGCTTCTTGCCCCCGTACCCTGGCAGTCAGAGCTTATCTATGCGCGCCTGCACCCGTACCCTAGCAGTCAGAGCTTATCTATGCACGCCTGCACCCGTACCCTAGCAGTCAGAGCTTCTTAACCCCCGTACCCTGGCAGTCAGAGTTTATCTATGCGCGCCTGCTCCTCGAGGAACAGCAGCTGTTCGACGAGGAAGCAGTCGGCCGGGTTCTTGCAGTAGCGCTTCAGCTGCCTGATGACCTGCTCGTCCGTCACGGAGACGGACGACTGGAAGCGAGCGCTGCGCAGGTAGCTGTACACCTTCTTGAATGCCTCTGCACCCAGTACCACATCACACTGCCTGAAAAGTAATGTATACCTTCCTGAATGCACGTAGAATCACCTCATACTGCCTGAAAACACCACACATATTCCTGAATGCACCCAGCATTATTTCACACTACCTACAAAACATATATAATATATATATATATATATACACATTATCTATCTATCTATCTATATTATATATATATATATATCATATTTACATATATATATATAAGTATAGTAGAGTGACTCCGTGGGTAATGGCCGCAATGTTCTTGACGAGGAACAGAACAAATGGCCTCGAGAGAGTGGGGCACCATGACTTGACCATGTGTTGAAGTCTAGGGTAAACGTACGGCAATGCTCACATTCAGAGTGCGAGATCATTTCCTCACCTCTTCAAGTTTCGTATCCTAGTATCCTGCGACACTGTCACATCATCTCCGAAGGTACCGCCTGCAAACCACAAACTTCATTGGCACACACACAAGGTGCAACGCATGCTAAATATAATTAAAAATTAATAATAACAACAATGACCTGTTTCACCTTATCGATACTAATTATCACTATTACTATTATTATTTGTGTCATCGTTGTTGTTATTATTGTTGTCGCTGCTGTTGTTGTTATTATTAATAACGATTCTCTTATTTCACACAATTGCCTTAACGACTGCATCTTACTTGACGCGTCCAGGTTTAGTGCATTCTCCATGTGATGAATCAGCCTGCCATAGTCGTCACGGTGATGCCCGCCGGGCCTGTTGCCACGGCGATCGTCATCTTTCTTGACCTCTGGCTCCTCGGCAATTTCCTCCTCCTCGTCATCTGAGTCATCCTCCTCACTTGACTCAAAGTCATCGTATTGTGAGTAGTATGTATCGGCTAGCTGTGGATCCTCCGGGATGCCTGCGATATTGCATGGAAGACAGTCTACTGCTTACTACGTTCAATGATGAATCTTGCACTCACTTTCTTATTCCGTTTGTCTGTTTTGTGTGTTTTTCTGATCCCATACTCTCTCTTTCTCTCACACATATCCTCATGTTCTTTCTCTATTTTTCTATCTTTCTCTTTCCTCTTTCGCTTACTGTCATGGTGTTTCTGCACTTTTGCTTCTATACGCATTCTCTCCCTCTGTCTATCTACTCTTTCCTCTCTCTCTTTCTCTCCTGCCCTCCCTCTCCCCCCTCTCTGACTCTCTCTCTATCTAGCTAATTCCACTACTAAATATCTCTTAAAGGCTATCTTCTTTCTGAAAAAAGCTCGAATGTTTGTAAACACTTCCATTTTTAGCACCAACGAGACATAACCAATAACAGATGCAAAAATAAATTCTGCAGTACCAAGACATTCGACTATTTGTATAGCACCTTTCACAATGCATGAGTACATACCATCACTATCATCAGAGTCTCTTCCTGGTGGGGCTCTGGAGTCACCTGTTTTTAAATTATCAAAATTTAAAATTATATTAAATACAAAAAAATATGTTGAAAAACAAAAACTGCACATGAAAAGGTATGCACATGCATATTAGTCTTCATTTGAGGTCATAAATCTGTTATGCAGTTATACGTGTGAAAGGGCACAAAATTGCAACCAGAAAAACCACTAACAACAACATTTATGAAAAATGCAAGAATCAGAAACTTATGAAAGCTCATTTTTCCATTGCACAGTACAACCACGACAGCACAGAGAGGAATCTCAAACCATGTCTGTGACAACCCATGTTTGCAGTAAAGGGAGCTACATCTACACATAACATGTTTTTCTAGCCAATACACAGTTCAATCACAGCAGCAGACGTAAATGAATCTAAAAAGCCACCACCAACCTATTCATTGATGGAATTGTAAGTCTTTCCCATATAACATAAGCATGGTCTTCTCTTTACTACATATATACTAAATGCCCTTCTTTTAAATAAATTATCATTATGTTACTGCAAGCTATTGGTCTGTTTTGTATAGACTCTCCGGTGCAAGCTACTTGAGTACTGTATGAACTCTACTATACAACATAATGCAGAAATAACTTTTAATAATGTAGCTATGATCAGCTACCAGACTGTCGGGCTGTAATAATGTTGCTATGTCAAACTACTGGACTGGTAGCTTATGACAGTTCTGCTCATTTCGTTGCATTGTATGACGCATCTTCAGTGGCTTACCTCGTCGCGTTTGCTGGCTGGGTGGCAGCTGCGGCTGGAATGCTGTGCTGTTGAACACTTCAGGGTGCTCCTCCACCCACGGTGGTCGCTGTGAGCAGCAAGAACAACATACACACATATTACACACTACATTACACCTCCTCACACATTGCACATCATTACAATACAGTGCACTATCTGGAGCGTTGCTAACCAAATTTTCTGAGGGAGCGGGTAAAGCCACGTGTGTTGTGTGTTCTGGGAAGGCAACAGCCATTGACCATGTAATGTATCTACATTTCTTTGGGGGCAACTTCTCCCCCCTTCCTCGCTAGCCACGACCCTGACTATATGCACATAACATACACTACATACCGATTATAGACAAAAATACCAATGCTACACTTACTAAGAACTATCCGAATATTGACAGATACTATGCAAGACATCAACACGTGCATAAGGCCCATCAAGGGATCTATCTGTTTATCATTTTTAATCAAAATTTATGTATTCATGCCAGAACTAATATGACAATGCTAATACTGCTATAGGCATAGGTCGCAGCTTGCACTTTAAACACTCCTCCCTAGCTGTTAATGCATATTCTAGTGCGACCACCTATATATACACACGCACAGCCAATCAATCAATCATGCGCTCAATCATGCATGGTAATGCTGGTAATGTTCAATACACACTACATCCTGCACACGCACTCATTGTATTAGGAGTAATGAAGATATATTCTGCGTAAAATTATTGAAGTATCGAAAGTCCATATAATGGGTGAACCTGGGAAAAGGATTGTTGAATACTCACATAAACGTGAGTGTTATATTGCACACAAACCCAAACACACACACAAACACCATGCATTCACCCACACATGCACTACACTCCCAACGCCACCAGTTCCTACCCAGAGCATGTACATACGTACACCTGGCACAAGAACATGTATGCATGCAAGGTTTCACTAACAAGCATAATGCATGTACACATAACGACATGCAAATACAGTATACTTCATGCATGAACACAGCCACGTATATATAACCACATCTGCATATACACACACATGAAAACGTACTCCGAATCATACACACGCACATGTATACATGCACACACTGCGCACATGCACGCACACACTGCGCACATGCACACACACACTGCACACATGCAAGTACACACCGTACACACCGCACACACGCACACACACACACACCCTGCACACACGTACGCACACACTGCACGCATGCACACACACACACACACACAGCGCACAATGCACGCTCACACAGTGCACATGCATGCACACTGCACACATGCAAGTACACACCGTACACACCGCACACACGTACGCACACACTGCACGCATGCATGCACACCCTGCTGACATGCACACACACACACTGCGCACAATGCACACTCACACAGCGCACATGCATGCACACTGCGCATGTGTACGCGCACCATGCACACATGCACACACACACACACACACACACACACACACACACACACTGCACACATGCAAGCCCACACTACGTAGCTACCTCACTCAACTAACACCGTACCTCGCTTAACTGCGCCGTGCGCAGTCTCTGCACTCGCTCCTTATTCTGAGAGTAGTTGTGTGCGGCTGCTTCACTTAGCTGCCTCGCCGCCTCGTCCGCCTCACGCTGCTTCTTACGCTGCAGCCGCTGCATGGGCGTGAGCGCAGCCACCGCTCCCCCACCCCGTCCCTCCCAGCCGAACCTCCTCGCCGCCCCATCCCCGCGGGGCCTCCCAGGCTCCCCCTCCCCGCCGAGCCTCCCTGGTGCCCCATCCCCGCCAGGCCTCCCAGGCGCCCCCTCCCCACTGGGCCTCCTCAGCGCCCCTTCCCCACCAGGCCTCTTTACCACCCCCTCCCCGCCGGGCCTCCTCTCTGCTCCCTCCCTGCCGGGCCTCCTCTCTGCCCCCTCCCTGCCGGGCATCTTCGCCGCCCCCTCCCCGCCGGGCCTCCTCGCCGCCCCCTCTCCGCGCGCTCTCGTCTGATCCATCTTCTGCTTGAGACTCTGTAATGCAGCCAAGATTTCGCATGTAAATCACAAAAGTGGCAGATGCCTGGATCATATAACCGCGTAGCTGGTAACACCATGGAAATGAAATTAACATTTACATGCCACGGAATCGATGATTAAACATTGTGAATGGTATACAATAGACTGAATTATTACAAAATATTGTATAATACTATTTACAAACTTATTACTACAAAATATTACGAATATTATTTCTAGTTGCATGTGCAATGTGAACACCTGCATGTGGTTCCTATACTTACACTTAAGTATAAATACCAATATATTCACCAACTCAAATTTAACATGACAATCAAGTACACTTATGTCACACATGTACCTGGACTGTGTCTTTCCCCTACTGACCACACCCACTTGCATGTGTTTACTCTTCACACTCAAGTAGAAATACTGATATATTCACTAACTCAAATTTAACATGACAATCAAGTACACTTATATCACATATTTATCTGTACTGCAGCATGTTTCCACTACTGATCGAACCCACCTGCACGTGTTTCCTACGTACACTCAAGTAGAAATACTGATATATTTACCAACTCAAATTCATCATGACAATCAAGTACACTTATATCACACATGTACCTGTGCTGCGTGTTTCCACTACTGATTAAACCCACCTGCATATGTTTCCTACGTACACTCAAGTAAAAATAATAATATATTCACTAACTCAAGTTTAACGTAACAATCAAGTACACTCATGTCACCTGTACTACTATGCATTTCCACTACTGATCAACCGTGCATGTGTTTCCTACTTGCACTTTAAATACAGATATATTTACTAACTCAAATTCATCATAACAATCAAGTACACTCATGTCGCATATGTCACCTGTACCACTACGTGTTTCCACTACTGACCACACCCACCTGCATGTGTTTTGCAATGTAGGGTATTCGCAGCACTTCACTCGCAGACACACGTTTTGCTGGATCCTTTCTCAGCATCGTCTCAAGTACGTCCGCTAAACTGCTCGAGTATTTGTCAGGAAGCTTGGGCATAGCGCCCTCTACGATGGCGAACATGACACCCATGAGGCCGGTGCCGTCGAACGCGTGCCGCAGTGCGCACATCTCGTATAAAATACACCCTGCTGACCTGTGAGCACGAGCATGAAATACGAATTTCAGAAACTGTTCGCGGTAATAAAACTAAACTCTATAATATCTCTAACTAACTCGCTAGCTATTTATCTAAATATAAAGTCCTATAGATAGATCATAAGACTTTATTATTAGGCTCTTCTCCAATACTGATTTGCTCGTATTTAATTCACATCCCGATGATCATTCACCTATCATTACTTTCTACATAATGAATTTTTTTGCATTATGAAAAAAACAGCAGTCAGGACTCAGGAGGTAAGTATAAAGCTGCTTTAAGTATGAAGCTGACAGGGGTCAAAAGCTACTATATATTTTTTAGAAATTCATATGTTTATGTGTACCGTCCACTTTGTTCAAATGTTACTAACCAGATATCGGATTTGGAGTTGTAGCCTGCATGCCTGATGACCTCGGGGCTCATGTAGTAGGGTGTGCCAATAAAGGTGCTTGCCAGGTCACTAGTTCCCATCATTATGCGAGAGATGCCAAAATCTCCAATCTTGATCATGTTGTTTTTGAGAAATATGTTCCTGTAAGTCACAACGAGAGAGGCACAATTTCAATGATTGTACAATTACGTAAAGCAGTAGGGTAGACCATGAAGTCTAATGCAGTAGATTGCAATAACTGCGCTACGTTAAAATAAGATGAACCTTACAATGAAGTGTATTATATAAATAAAATAATATATGTAATTTAAAAAATTCATAAAATGTTCTCCAAAAAATCTGTACAGCTTTTTTAGCACATTTTAATTTGCTGAACAAGCATTCTAAAAGCAGCAATTCTGCGAATGATGAGACACGTTTCAATTTAACGTGACATCACAGACATGCTCACACGTAGTATACATTAACAAGCTTTACCAGGTGCAAGGACAGTGAACACATACAGCAATTTTATCTCTGTCAACACACAACATACATCCTTCATGCCTTCCTGAATATCGGACGCCGAAATCCATCCGACGATTTATCGATGAGGTGGCATCCGATAGACATCCAATGAACAACTAAAAACTGTTTTAAGCCCTCGCAACTTTGAAACCAGCTAGTTTGTTCTAATTCTCCATCAATCAGCTGCATAGCCACCGTGTTGCTGAAAAATCAATTTGCTTACATTGGTCGTATATATAGCAGCGTACTCTGTAATATTCCTACTTCCTGATGAAGACTTTCATCATCAGATCTGTAGCGCCACCAAACTTACCCTGAATGCACTGCATATGCATTCATAGTAATAATGAGAGCGATTTGACGTACAAGCAGTGATCTACCTCACCTTGTTGCAATTGCAGGCAAAGCTGCCTGAAACGGAGACCTTGGTCGGCTTTCCTGGAGGCAGATCGACCTCAGCGGCCGACGAGGAACGCTTGTGCACGGAGCGACAGCGCCGCTCTCTAAGCTCAATCCCCCCTGGTCATCGTCGCTTAAAAGGACAGCTTTCTTGCGAGAAGCCTCTTCTCTGCATCGTCAGCGAGTTATTGCGAGTGATTACACAGCCCACACATAACCTTTTTTTATGATAATGACTATTATTTCCAAAGTATATATATAGTATATACTGTAACAATTCATTTTACACAATATCAATGATAATGGAAGTACAAGGCTCGCTGATGATACAAAGAGTCAGGGTTAATAGAAATTTTTAATTTATAATTATTACTTTTTGCCTTTTCTGTAAAATGTCAAATACGAGGTAAAGATAAACATTATTATTGCACCAATCTGCTATGCAGCTGTGTGTATGCACCTGTTTCAGGGAGGAGACTTGGAACAAGATCAACATTGGCGAAGAGAGTGAGCAGAGGAAGTTTAGTGAGTCTCTAGTGCTGGATTGCGTGTCATCCAGCTGATGCTGGTATTCAGTACAATGCCATGAACAGCGCGTGCTGCACACGGATCTTGAAAGACTAGGTATGTAGTATATATCAGGGAGGTCATACTATATTAGACACAATATAGCATTCTATCTTCCTATTCTCTCCGTCTCTCTTCTCACTCACTTTCTCCCTCTCCCTCTACCCTCCCTCTGCATCTCCTCTCCCTTATCCCTCTCCCTGATCCCCCTATCGCTCTCAGTTTTCCCCTTCGTCCGTCCCCTCTCCCTATCTCCTCTCCCTTTCCCTCTCCTCTCCCCTCCCCTCCCTCCATCCTCCCTCCCTCTCCTCCCTCCCTCCCTCCCTCCCCCCTCTCTCTCTCTCGTCTCTTTCTCTCTCTCTCTCTCTCTCTCAGTCTCTGCTCTACACGTCTCTCTACTCTCTCTCTCTCTCTGTCTCTCTACTCATCCTCTCTCCTCTATATAATAATATATATAGATATATATATATATATATTATATATTATATATAGTCTCCTTGGTATTATCACTTTCAGGGAG